CACACACACACACACACACACACACAAATACACAGAGAAAGAGAGAGAAAAAACATCCAATATAACATTGTTCATTCCACTTTTTCCATTTACAAAATCCAATGGTGAATCCAGGCAGTTAGAAAAAGGAAATGGAGGAAAACCCTCCTGAGTCTACCCTATTTGCCCTCCCACCTTGGTCTTTGCATCCCAGCCCTCAGAAAGGCATTCCTATCATCATCACTGAGAGAATAGCCCCACCCCAAAGACACATTCCCAGCCTCCCAGCTCCTCTGGCTGGCTTTTCCAGGGCCACTCCACACCCAGGGTCATCAATATCTCTTTTGCTTAGAGTGCCCCCTTCATTGCTTTTGGGTCAAGGCTTCCTCAGTTCAGGGGCTTTCTTGGGGTAGAAGTGGAGTTTAGGACAGGAAGGAAAGGGGATGGAGAGATCACTGCCCCAAACTTAGACAAAGAGTTTCAATTTGTCTCACCAGTCCATAGAGCTGCTTCAAAGTAAGCCCAGAGTGGTCTCTGTCCATGGAAAAAGAGGCTTTGGACCTTCTACCTGTGAAATTTGGGTGTAGTCTGCTCCACTTTGGGCATAGGTAAGGATGGAGGGAGAAAAAATCTTCTGGGAAGGATGTTTGGTAGGACCACCAAGAGGTCAAGCAGGAATGGACTCAATTCCACAGTGCCTTGAAGTTTGTATCACTGTTGGTTACCAAGGCTCCCAAAGAATTTTCATTTTCAGAAGAGTAGTGTGAACCCAATGGTGGGGTTTAATTTAGCTCTGACCCCAGGGTCTGCACTCGAGCTACTCTAGGGAGTTCAACTATCTCCCTATACTTCTGTGGATGACTTCCACTGTCAGCATATACCCACAGCATCCTTAGTGGGGACTGAAGTGGAAATATATTTCTAGGAAGAAAGTTTAGGGGAGCCAAGAGGAAGCTTGAGTGCATGTAGCTAAGTTTGGTATATTCTGGTTGAGGAGCACATCTCCCATTCTGCTCTTCATCTAGCAGGGGCACATCATGGAGGCCCTTCTTTGTATGCTCTTGGCTTCTCAAACAGAGCCTCAAGAAACACCTGAGAAGTCTGGACATGGTAGGGAGGGACTGGAGACCTGGCTAGGGATCAAGGTTTGCTAAAAACAACATTGCACACAAACTAGCAATTTAAACATCCTTGCTTCCCAAGAATGCAGCATCACATTTGGTCCCTCTTGTCTGAAGCCGTAAGTCAATATTTCCTAAACATCCAGGTCTTACTAAAGGATTGGAAGGGAAGGGAATGGGATCCCAAAGGGCAATATGATCTCTGGAAATCTATTTTACAGGAGAAATTTCCCATTTCTTGACAATGTCAAAAGGAGGGACATTTAAGCAAGAAAGCCTGTTTCCTCAGCTGTTGTTAAAAACCCTGCATTTTCACTTTTTTTTTGTTTTTTGTTTTGTTTTTTGTTTTTTTTTTTCTTTTTTTTACTGAACCATTATTTTAGAAAGATAGGAGAGGGGAGAGAGAAAGGAAGGCAGGGAGGGTATGGGAATAGGAGATTGTGGAAGTGGAGAAGGAAGCTGTGGGACAAGCCCCACAAAACTAGAAATGCCCCTTTTCCAGTTCCTCACCCAGTTTCCAACAGTAGGAAGGTATTGGCAAAATGCCTCAGGTATGGATGGTTTAAGAGCCTGGGCTGAAGCTCAAAAAAGAAGGCTTCTGTCTGGGTCCCACCCTTCCCTTGGTGTTGGTCCCAGAATGGTGATCATGACTTTTCCCCTGCCTATTACCTACTGGCTTGCTTTACATGACACAGTAGGGTTCTCTGGGGGCTGGGGCACCTCCTGTGCCCCAGCAAGGGGCATGAGTCCTCAGGCACTTCTTGAGGTCCTTGTTAAGCAGGAAGCAGACGATTGGGTTGACGGCAGCCTGGGCGAAGCTCATCCAAACAGCAGTGGCCAGGTAGCGGTGGGGCACAGCGCAGGCTTTCACAAACACTCGCCAGTAACAAGCCACGATGTATGGTGACCAGAGGAGCAGGAAGAGCAGCGTAATCGCGTAGAACATTCGGCCCAGCTGCTTTTCACCCTTGACCTCGTCAATGCCCAGTAGCCGCCGGCTAGCTGCATGCCCATTCTGCCGGATACCCAGCAGAGTTGGAGGCATGGGCCCACGGCCAAAGCCAGCAATCCAGTTGGCAGCAGCCTGGCCGGTAGCCCCAGGGCCATGGAATGTCCAGTTTTGGCTGATGGCTGGCACCATCTGCACTGGCTTCATCTTGCGGTGACGATACTCGAAGAGTAGCAGCTTGCCATAGACAGCATGTGTGGCTGCCATGAGCACAGCCAACATAAGCATAAAGCCCAATGTGTCATTTGCTTTGAAGTAGCGATGCTCAAAGATGCACTGGTCCTCCTCTCGGATAAACTTGTACGTGCCCACATCAAAGACAGGTGGGAAAGCCATGGCCACAGATAAGGTCCAGGCCATGCAGATGACAGCTGCGCATGTCCAGAGTGTCATGCGTTTGGCATAGAAGCGGTGGTGGGCGATGGCCATGTAGCGGGTGACGCTGATGCAGAACAGCATGAAGGCCGCATGGAAGCAAAAGAGCACAGCCATAAAGGCCACAATCTTACAGCTGAGTGCACTGAAGGTCCATGAGGAGCCATGGCGCACAGAAGCCAGTACAAAGGGGAAGCAGATGGCAGAGCGTATGCCATCAGCTAGGCACAGGTCCAGCAGAAAGTAGTAAGGAGCCTTGTGCAGGGCACGTTCCTTGAGCACCAGTAGGGATAAGATGGCATTGCCTGCCAGGCTTACACACATGATCAGTCCCAGTAGCACCAGCTTCACATAAGCCGACGCTGACGGCAGGGACAATGCGCCGCTCACCTCCTCGGGCTCTCCGGTGGTGTTGGCCATACTGAGGGGCAAGGGCTACCCCCAACCCTAGAGGGTCGGCCAATCCAGTATTTGATGTGCCCTGGGGGACTCCATCTGTTGTCTTGCTGAGCTACACCTGCAAATGGGGACAATGGAGGAAGATACAGACAGAGAGACAGAGTAATGAGTGTAGGAGACAGAAAAATGCAGTGACAGAGTAGTAAATAATGAGACTGAAAAATGATGAAAAAGGTATAAATGGATAGAAAGCACAGAAACGGAAGGGATGGAACAGGATGAGCGGGGAGGGAGAAACGGATGAGAAAGAAACAGAGAGGGCAGTTTAGTGTGTCTGTGGGCCCTTCCCACGGACTCCCCAGCTACTTCTGGTCCTCCTCTCTTTGCTGGGAATGTTTTATATCTCCTAATGTTCTCACATTCCTCTTTCTTCCTCCACTGGAGGGACTATAGGGTTGTCGATGTTGGTGAAACTCTTATTCTCTTTCACAAGCCTTAAGGTTGTATTCAAGAATTTCTTTTTTGTTAAACTGCTACCCATAATCTAGTACAATTATGTACACATGCTTGTGTACACACACACACACACACACACCTCACCTAAGACTTTTACATACTACTAATCCCAATTGTAATATGCTCATTCTTTTCTATTGTATTTCATGTTTTGTTTTGTTAAACTATTGACAGCCACTGATTAATATTCGTTCTGCCTTTTTCTCTCTCTCCCATTTCCTGCTTACTCCCTTACTTTTTTTTCTTTTTTTCTATACTGGGGATTGAATTAAGGGCCACAGGCCTGGTAGGCAAGAGCTCTACCAATGAGCCAAATCCCTAAACCTCCTTTAAAATTTACTTTTTACTTTTGTAGTAGGGTATTGTGGAGTTGAACAGGCTGGCTAGGAACATTTTCCAGAGCCCAGGTAGGCCTTGAACTTGGGATAATCCTGCCTCAGACTCCTTTGTGCTAGGATTACAGCTCTATGCCATCATGCCTAGCAAGATATCTCTGTTCATGGTCAGGAATACGTGCAGTATGCTCTGTGAGTAGTGAGAAGACTAATGTTAAGTAGAGCATTTCAGACACACAGTGGTAGGCACGCAGAAGACCAAATGTTACAGGCCTAGGGATTTTGATGAGGCCTCTGGCTTTTATGTTGTATGAATGTAGGATTATGTATGAATATAAAAATATAGGTATGCTTGTTGTATTGGTTCACTGAAAAAATATTTCTTTACTCTAGGTTGTGTACTGTTTTAGGCACTGAGGATACAGTTGTGAATCAGACAGACAAAAGATTCCTACTCTAGCACTTTGGAGGCAAAGGCAGGTAGATCCCTGAGTTCTAGGCCAGCCTGGTCTACAGAGTGAGTTCCAGGACACCCAAGGCTACACAGAGAAACCCTTTCTCAAAAACAAAACAAAAAACAAACCCATTACTACCAACAAAAAATCAGTACTCTTGTATAATTGACATTCTAGGTAATAAAAAGGAGACATATATGAAGTTAGTATATCAGATGATGACAATATTCTAAAATATAATCATAAAGTAGGGGAAGAGGATTTAAAGCTCTAGAGGTGAGGAGGGTATTGAAGTCTTTGACGAGATGGCTAGGGAAGGCATCACAAAGAAGGAGTCATCTAAGCAAACAGGTGAAGAGGTAAGTTCTGTGGCTGTTTGGGAGAAGAGAACTCTAGGCAGAAAAAAGTCAGAACAAAGGCCCCGAGATGGAGCAAAAAGCAAGGAAGCCATGGTAGGTGGAATACTGAGCAAGGGGCAAGTGTTAGGTGCCGTCAGAAAGTTGGCAAGGATGTATCAAACAGTGCATAGTAAGGACTTTGATTCAGAATTACTTGGGAGGGTTTTGAACAGAGATAGGATGTGATTCTAGTTCAGGGTTGAATAAGATTCTATTTGTTGCTGTGAGAATAGGGTATGCTACATAAAGGTAGCTATGGGAAGGGTAGGGAAGTTCATTAGTAATGTAGGTAAGAGGTCATAGCATCTCCATGCCCTTTTCCTTTCTCACAAGAATCTCTCCTAACTATGTCATTTACTTTTTGAATTTAGGGTATTACTTGCCTCATCTTATTAGAACAGAAGCTTCACAAGGGCATGGTAAGTCCCATCCCCTCTAAGAGATCACTAACATGTCCAAAGTAGATTCCTGGTGAAAACATGACAAGTTAGTTGGCTGAAGAAATAAAATGAATGGTGGGGTGCTTAGGAATGGACTGGGGGACACGGTGGGTCTTCAAGATGGGTCTTGAAGTGGATGTCTTCTTGCTAACTCTTTCTTAGTAGATTTGGCCCCTTTGCATTGTTATCTAGATCAATATGGTCTAAACTGTCACCTAAAAGCAGTGATTTTTTTTTGACAGAACAATACATCTTATAGCCAATGGCCTACTTAAAAAGAGAGTATTCTAGGGCAGGGATTGGAGAGAAATACACACAGTCAGATCTCTTAAATTCCCTCAAGACCTGATGTCTCCCACTCCTCCCAGAACCACAGACAGCCCTCCACTGTGTATGTGCAAAGGTGCACACACAATATGCCTTAGCTTTAATGGTGAGCAGGGGGTATTAGGTGTAGAGGCAGAGTGATTGTAAGAGGTAGTCAGATACACAGGGAGCGACAAAGTAAGCGAGTCATTTGTGTGACAGGCAGATGGTGACAGGAGGAAAGAGAAAAACAGAAAAAGAACAAGGGAACAGATAGAAATGGAGAAAAAGAATGGAGACTGACTTAAAAGAGACATATAGATCACATAGAGCAACAGCGAATGAGTAAGAGAGGAGACAGAAAGGGTGAATAAGGAAAAACCAGAGGACAAACAAACAAAACCATCTAGAACACAGCTCCTACATCTCGGATTGTAGCTCCCTCTGGTGTTACAGAACTGAATGTGGAGATTTCAAGAATTTTACAAAATTTGTGGACGTGTAATGAATGACCAACATTTAATTCAAAATCAAAGGTTCGGTGAACCCCACATATTTCTAGCAGCAGTTGCTTGTGTTGCATTATATGTATGTTACTGGTTGTGAGCATATGCGTACTTTGCACTGCACATGCCACCATGCAACCCAATGGCAACAATGTTAACTGAGCTACTTCAGCTAAGACTTGACACTACTGTATGCTGTGAGTTGCAGTGTCTCTGATGTACATGCAGTTTTTTTTTCTTTTATAAAATGTAATTGTTTAAGTACAGAAAATGAAAACTTTTAATCCTTTCCTACTGTCATGGAAGTATCAAATTAGTATGCCAATATATTTTATTGAATTGGAAAGTCTGATTTAAAAAAATGCCACTCCAGCTGGATCTCTGTGAGTTTGAAGCCAGCCTGGTCTATGTAGAAAAATTTCAAGGACTGTCAGAGCTTACATGGAGAGACCCTGTCTCAAATACCCCACCTCACCCCCTAAAATAAATAAAAAAATTGACATCTGAAATGCTGATTTGAGTATCCTAAAAAAAATTATTAGGTGAATTTTGGCTTGGGAATAGGACAAAATTTCCAACAATTTTTGAAATGCCCCTAACCATTTTCTACTAAGTGTTTAAATGAAATGAGGTTCTCAGCAGTGGCAGCTCTAATATCAAGATACCAGTCAACTCTTAAAAACATTGAATATTCTTTATATGTTTCAGTATCCAATAGTCAGAAAAGATTTAATTATTTATGTAAAAAAAGTGCATCCATCTCAGCATGCAAATTTACTTTTGTCCTTAATGAATAGAAAAATTATATGTATGCCTGAGAATTGTTTCAGATAAATTTGTTAATAGTACATGGTTGATTTCTACACTTATTTTATATAACTATATACCTGGGGTTGCATAAAAATTTTCTTAAGTGAAAGAGGTCATCAGAAAAAAAAATTCAAGGAACCCTGATGCAGAAGGCTTGGGAGAGATGAGAAGGCAGTGAGAAACAGGTAGACACAGAGACACACAAACATGCAGAGAGCGACACATACTAGCCTGAGAGGTAAAAAAAAAATGTGTAGCTTAGGGTCTCAGTGAAGACAAGCATTAAAGTTAAAACCAACTCCCCCATCAAAACAAACAAACAAACAAATACAAAAAACTTCCAAAAACACAGCTTCATGGACAGCAGTACACACACACACACACACACACACACACACACACACACACACACACACACACACACACACACACACACACACACACACACTGCGCCAGAGGTGCGCTGTGCAGGCATAGACGGAGGTAGTTCTTGTAGATGGAGGTAGCATTAGATGCAGGTAGTTCTTGTACCCAGCTTAGTGCCAGGGCTTTGTCCTTTACAAAGGCATTACTGCCCCCTAGGGGACATTTTGGAAATCTGCAGGAACGGAGTGGGGAAGGGAGGGGGAAAAAGAGGGTTGGGATGGGATGGGATGGGGTGGATGGAGTTTGCCTCATGTGGGTGCAAGATGTCCTAATATTTAGAGGTGAAGAGAGAGTATGCATCACTTAGTGACATGTAGGGCAGTCTGACATTATTCATACATGTCCTGCAACTCCTAGGATTTTGAGATTATATTTAGTTGAGCTTAGAATCTCTTTTATTAATATAAATGAAGTTTTTTTTT